ATAAATGTTTTGAAAATGGTGAACTTTGCCCCTCAATGAGAAGAGGAATAATTACTTTACTCCCTAAACAAGGAAAAGATAATTTATATTTGAAAAATTGGCGTCCAATTTCTTTATTAAACACAGACTATAAAATATTAGCTAAAATAATAGCAAATAGAATAAAAAAGGTACTTCCACTCTTAATATGTTCTGATCAAACTGGTTTTATGAAAAATAGATATATTGGAGAAAATATTCGTTTGTTTTTAGACATGATAGAATTTTGTAAATCACATTTTGTAGATGGTCTTGCTTTTTCTATTGATTTCGAAAAAGCATTCGACTCTTTAGAATGGAATTTTTTGTACATATGCTTAAAGAAATTTGGTTTTAAGGAAAATTGTATTCAATGGATAAAAACACTTTATAATAACATTGAAGGTTGTGTACTTAATAATGGATATTCCTCACCGTCATTCAATATAAAGAGGGGTGTAAGACAAGGTTGCCCTCTTTCACCATATTTATTTTTAATTGGTGCTGAAATTTTAGGGGTGATGATTAGACAATCAAATGATATTATAGGGATCCGTGTAAACGACTCGGAAGTGAAACTTAGTCAATATGCAGATGATACTGTTATTTATTTATCAGCGACCGAGGATAATTTAGAAAAATGTTGTAATATGTTATCACTATTTGCAAGTATATCAGGTTTGAAAATAAACATAGAAAAGAGCAATATCGTTCGTTTAGGTAATTTTCAGGGTACTTTATGTTTAGATAAGAAATTTAAATGGGTTTCTGATTCATTAATTTATTTAGGTATAAAAATACCTGTCTCAGATGAACTTGATCTATATAATTTAAATTTTGAAGACAAAATTAAAGAAACTGATAATTTGCTAAATGTTTGGAGTAATAGGAGTTTGTCATTAGTTGGAAAAATTGCAGTAATCAAAACACTTGTGATTCCAAAGTTTGTATATTTATTTAGTAACACTCCTAGCCCACCCAAAAAGTTCTTTGACACTCTTCAAAAAAGATTATTTAAATTTATTTGGAACAATAAAGGTGACCGAATAAAGAGAAGTATAATGTATAATAATTTGAACGATGGTGGATTAAAAATGACGCATATAGAGAGTTTTTGTAAAGCCCTAAAAATTGCATGGGTAAAAAGAGTTTTGGACGAACAAAATGACGGTCATTGGAAAAAGTTGTTTTATGCCAATACTAAACAAATAGGTGGAGTGTATATATTCTTGTGTAATTTTGTAGGAAGCGACTTGAACTGTAGCGGCATAAATGGATTTTGGAAAGATATTCTTTTTGCTTGGTCACACTATAGGTACTACAACCCCGTGAAATTTAAAGATATTATGAATCAATCGCTATGGAATAACTCTCATATCAAAATAGATGGAAAAACAATTATGTATAAAAAATGGTTTGATAAAGGAATTTTGTTTGTAAAAGATATAATGAAAATAGATGGATCATTTAAAACTTTTTTGGAGTTACAGGAAATTTTACAGTTGAATCAAGGATGCTACTTAGAATATTTTGCATTGCTATTTTGTATGAAAAAAGAATGGAAAAGAATATTGAAAATAGGTGATTTAGAACAAGAACGAGAAGAAGATGGATATATGAAATTTATTACATTAAAAAAAGTAACCAAACCTTGTTATGAAAAATTAGTGTCTACATTTTGTTTAAATTTATTGAATACGAATCAATGTGAAAAATGGTCATATGATTTGAATGTAAATTTGAGAGACTTAATTCAATGGCAGAATAGATTTGAAATTGTATACTGGGTAACGCTAGACACAAAGATTCGTGTATTTCAATTTAAATTTATCCACCGTCGTTTGGCGACGAATGATTATTTGTATAAAATCGGCATACACAACTCTCCAGTCTGTAATTTCTGTAAAAAAGAACCACAAAGTTTATTGCATTTGTTTTGTACATGTTCTAAAATTCAGCAATTTTGGTCTGATATAAATGCTTGGTTATTAAGAAAAAATGTATACACTCAAAAATTTTCATACCTAGATATTTGTTTTGGTTTTGGCGAAAAAACTCACCATCTTATAAATACAATTGTATTTTATGCAAAATATTTTATTTATAAAACAAAGTATGAAGAAAAAAATCTTTCGTTTTTACGTTTTACAAAAGAACTAGATTTTCTTCAACAAGTAGAATATATAATTGCATTCAGAAAAGGAAAACAGAATACACACAAACAAAAGTGGAGACCTCTAATTTAATTTGATTTGATATTTGATATCTAATTATTCGTTTACATGTTCATTTGTTAACTTTGAATTGTATTGTATTGTATTTGTTATGCAGATCGAATGTTATAATGAACAACGATTGTAAATATCTTTGATTTGAAGCAATAAAAAAACTATTAAAAAAAAAAAAAAAAAATCTAATTTGATCAAAGTGTTGCGGTGGAACGAAAATCGGCATTTCAGTTCCTTATAGTGGTAACCTTGCATGTTGATTTAGATAATGATTATCAGAATATAGAAAGAGACAGACGAAACAGACAAAAACAAGCGACCAAGATTATGGTCCCAAAGAGGACCCCCCCCCCCCCATATCTTCAACGACAGAGGTAAGACTCATTGGCAATGGAGGATTTTACGTGAATACCATAGTTGGGTAAAAACATGTTATTCTCATCTCCTCCATTAAAAATGACCGACTTGTTTTCTGTTGTTATATTATTTATTTATATTTTAGTTTATTATTATTATTTACGATTACCAGACCAGAATGATAAATACAATTGTAGGCCTAACTTTGATGATTTTGATTTTTGATTTGATTTTTTTGATTTATTGGTTTCTGCATCTTTTTTTTTTCTTTTTTCATCATACATTTTCATGAACATAATATGGTTTGATACAATATTTTAAGTGTATATAATTTTATACATATAATAAACGAATTTAAACAAATATATTGAATGCATAATTAACATACATTAGATGCAGGAGGGCTACATAAATAAGCATAGTAGCTTGACGTGGCCGCAGCCCTCAACTTAGATACAACAACAATAACAAATACAAATAGAAAAGACTGACTTGCAGAGAAGAAAAGGAAAGGGGAGAGAAGGAGCGTTGGTAATAACACAATAAATCTCGTACATCTGCTGGTTAAATGCAGGTTCATTCATAAAATGGCTAAACGATGCTAGGTCATGGACGAGTACACATCATTATTGAATATACAGTCAATGTACACACGAACATGAATACAGTACAATAAACCAAGTCTCTGAATTGCTTGCACCCCTTTGTAGTAATAAGTGCGTGGTTATATATACCTCATGCCCTCCCGTTTGAAAACGTTTTTAAACTTGGTAAACCGGGGAATTATATCATTTGGATTTATTGTTAATTAATAAATTCTACCGCAGATGGCGTACGTTCACTTTATCTGCTCTGTTTTTTCTACCAAATTGCAGAATTGTATCACAATTTGTTTTTGTATACTTGATTGAATATGTATTATATTAGTTTGGATACTTATGGAAAATATATATTTTTAATATGTCTGTGTTTATTATGAATGAGACAATGTACTATGTTTATAATCTAAGAACAAATATGTTCCTCTTTATCATTTTGTGTATGAAAATCTGAATAAAAGCATTTGTTTTCCTTCACAATTTGTATACTCGGTTGATTATGGTGGATACTTATGAAAAAATCATTTGAAAATATGTCTGTGTTTATAATGTAAAAGATATTGTACTATGTTTATAACTGTGAGAAAAATTATATTCCTCTTTATTGGTATATGAACATCTGAATATAAAGGCAAAAAAGCTTTAAACAAAAAAATGCTCTGATATCATCATCACGGAATCATTGTTATCATTATCCATAATCCTAACGATTAGGCCAATATCAACCCCAAACTTGGTTCATTAAATTTTTAACTAGATGTAATCACTAATAAAGATGATAATGAAAACAATGGTAACTATGATAGTTAATTAATTTGTCACTATTTCGAGATATTATTGTTCTTATTGTGAACTGTTATGACTATATTTTAGTATCGACTTTAAAACACATTTTCAAAAAATAAAAATAAGGAACGCTTCACGATTGTGCGTGTCATCTTTGTGCAAGGGGCCATGCTAATCTTCTCTGTATCGTTCCAATTTTAATAGATGTCAACAATTTCTTGTCGACACGATCTCAGAGGGAAAGCAAGTAGATATAGGTGCTTAGTGCATTGATCGCAAAAATATAGTTAATACTTTATGCCACCCATTGTCAAAAACGTTTCCAAAACGTTTCCTTAACTACGGACGCGTACGTGTCACGTGCACTGATCACGTGATTTTGATTTCCCATCGCGCTGCCACTGACAACTATTGTCAGATATAGTGCACCAAGCCAAGCATATATTCCCTGATTATTTTTTAACTATCAATTAAACTAACGGTTTCCTAAACTGCAGAGAATGTTGCAAGTAAATTATATCTCCTTCTCTTCTCTCTCTCTCTCTCTCTCTCTCTCTCTCTCTCTCTCTCCTCTCTCTCTCTCCTCTCTCTCTCTCTCTCTCTCTCTCTCTCTCTCTATCTGATCTCTTTTCTCCCTCCCTCTTCCCTCCTCCCTCGCGTTTCCTCCCGCTCTATCCTTCAAGATTAAAATTGTTTATCAAAATAATTAATAACTTGTCACCGACAAGCACTGCTTCTCCATTTTTCGAACGCACCCCATTACAAGATAACGAGAGATAGGCGGTGCATGCAGTGATCGAAATAGGTAGGAGATATATACACCCAACATAAAAATGTTCTTATTTACTACAACATTCTATATCAAGCAAAAACGACAAAACAAAAAAGGAGAAGGATTCTAAGAAAAAAAAAAGAAAGAAAAACAAGAGGAGAAGCTTGTACTAAATCAATGGAACCTTGATGGACACAAAATAAAACAAACAGAAACGGAACAAGTCAACATTTCTTTCCTCTAACACAAGGTGGCAGCAGATTACTTCGCAAATTTGACATTCCGCCTGTCAAAATTTGTTTCTCCTGTCTACGGGAAAATGGTTCATGATATGGACTAGAATTTCATAGTTACCGGCGATTTTGAATCATTAAAACATAGGTAAGAGTGACTTAGATGATATTCAATTATAATTGATATGTTGATCATATTTTGATATTTTGATGATAAGTACATCACCCTTCTCTTGCCAGTGTTTGCGAGTGCATAAATGTTCGGTCCCGTCCATTTAAATGAGTGTTTGTTGCGAATGAGTGAATTGATCAACAAAGCTCGGCCCGGGAAAATTGTGTTCAGAGTTTTAATGTTTTTAGAATCAAAGCGTTATCGAGTCATGTAGGTTAAAACCAACACATTTATAAGATATAACTGAATCTACAGTTATACACATGTTAATGTCAGTGGGAGGCTAGTGGAACTTTGTTGGAACTGGAAGTGGAAGTCCTTTTTTGCCCCCCAAAAACAAAAAACAAACTAAGTTCTTCTTCTTCTTCTTCAAGATAATCTGCCTCCTTCAATACTGAAGATTCTTGCAGATGCTGTATACTAGGCCTGATTGGGGTGTGCTGGTGGACCATTATACTGGGGTTTCCCCCTACTCTTATAGTGCAATGGGTTTGTAATGTTCCATACACCCAGTTATTGTGGGGTTAACAAACTTTCAGAAATTGCAAGATATCAGCATTTCCTTCCTTCGTTTATATCGGCACTTCCTTTTTGTCTTGTAAATTACGTGCATATTTTAAGTAACCTCGCACCTGCGATAAGACATTCGTGGTCTCCATGGTTTGTTTTTTTCTAAGCGCCAATCACGGCATTCCAGAGTCTCGTGTTTTTGGCTAGCGGCGTGATTTTCGCCACTCTTCCGTTTTGTACTCATCAGAGATACACGTGTTCTTCTTCTTCTTTTTGAGTACAGACCTCTTTTTACAGAGTATTATCGTACTATACTGGGGGTGTGTGCAGGTGGACCACTACATCGGGGTTTCCCCCTACTCTTATACAAATAGTGCAGTGGGTTCTTAACGTGCAAAGGTAGTGACTCTTCTCTACACTGGGCCTCCATTTAACGTCCTATCCGAGGGACGGAGTGTTTTCCACTTGACATAACCTGCGTCTATGAACAAGGGAAGGGGCACGTTAACACACAACGCAGACTTCAGTCATCCGCCTGGGTGGGAGTCAAACCCGGGATCTTTGGTTCCACTGGCAGACGCTTTACAGACTGAGCCAACTCGCCTCCTTAGTGGCCAAACGAACCCCCAAAATTGACTGAGATAAAAATAACTGGGTCTACTGAACTTATTTTATTGCCATGGACATGGTCGGTTATTAGTTGTGTTTTCTGTTTTTTCTGTTTTTCTTATTCTTGGTCACAGTTTTTGGCATAACGGCGCAGGTTTTTGTAGCCACATGTCTTAGTCATTGTGTGCGGGCTAATTTAAAAACGGGTGCCATTGCTTGAGAACCTTGGACTTGGAGTCAGACGTGGATGCAGGCACTCCAGCAAAGCATAGAGAGTCAATAAATGTGTATTGACCTCTAGCTCTGCACGACGTGTTAATAGGCAGCATTTGCACTAGGTCTGAGTCATGTCAGGACTTTTATAAATCGGGTCCGGACGGCCTTGCAACATTCGGGACCCGGTGTCCCAAAATCAGCTAGTAGGATTTGTCACTTGCCTCTTTAAGTAGCGCATATCATCAGTACCTGTATGTCCCTTAAAAGTGACCTTTTTTATCAATCAAATAAATCAACACATGCGTACCTCGGCTCAGATCGGTATTCTACCATCTGACATTACTTATCCATGATTAGCGATGTTTAGTGCCATTATCATGCCTCTAAAAGGAAAGAAATCTGGGGCAAAAATAGAAACACAACATTCGAGCCACCATTTTGATTCATGCAGGATGAATAAATCGGGTAAAAAAAATTAATGTTAGAAGAAAAAAAACCGGCTTTCTAAAAAATTCTATTTTCACATACCGATCATATATTTTTGAAAAGACAAAATTAATATTTTTGTCATTGTTTTAAACACCGCATGCTTCTTTTAAAAGCTGAAAATTACTTGGTAATCACAACAAGTTTTGATACTGATAGCTGTTGCAAGGCAAGTTCAGACTAGTCACAGACTGAATGCGCAGTGCACTTCATTAGCTGTAGTGTAATGCGTGCCGAAATGAACCCAAACAAATATATGTGATCGTAACAAGAAAAGAAATCTTTCAAAACTACGAGACCACAAGTAGAAAGACAACTACTGCTCAAAATTACCATAATCAGATACATAACTTGGACAAATAATTCAATTTAGTCGTCTAAGAAATGCCACAGAAATTGTAATATTCCAGGAGTAACTGCGTACATTTTTATCGAAAGGGGCCTGCTGCACATATCTAATTACGATGCTCGAATCCATTAATATACTGCTTTTACCGTAGAGGGCAGTATAGTGGATTCTAGCCCCGTGTTCAACATAAACACATGTAATTCTGCACGGACATCACAGCAGGCCTGTTCCGTTAAATAAATGTACCTATAGTAACTCCTTCAACATCACTATTTCTGTGGCTTTTCTTGGACAACTATTGTATTCTTCCTCCAAGTTAAGTATCTGCTTACGGTAATTTTGAGTAGTTGTCTTTCCAATTGTGCTCTCGTAGTTTTTAATGATTTCTTGTTATGATCACATATATTTGTTTGGGTTCGCTTCGGCATGCATTACAACATATCATAGAGAGCTCATTACATGGGATGGCACATAAAGAGTTAAAACTGATTTTCTCTTATTTTGATTTGCAGGATAATTACTAGCCTACACTCCATGATGTCATACAGGACAGAGGAATACTAGAGGAGATATTTTTACTTTACTGGTAATCTGGAAAGAAAACATCATGGTAAGTGTAATGTTTTCTCTTTCTCTTGTGCCTTATTTGCTCTGTAAGCGTGCCCCCCTCCCCCCCCCCCCCCCCAAAAAAAAAAAATAAAAATAAAATAAATAAATAAATAAAAAATAAATAAAAAATAAATAAAAAATAAAAAATAATAAAAATTAGAAATACATACAGGTAAGTGAAGAAAAAAAAAGATAGAAAAATGAGATTATAGAAATAAAATTTAATGGGAACCACAGGGAATAATTTTCCTCAAATTTTTTGATTAGCAATTTCAGGCGATGGATAAATATTTCAAATGAAATTCTGTACATTTCTATGGAAGAAAACTGCTACACAAAAGATATTTTGTATAGCAGTCATGCAAAAATGCATAGCAAATTGCGATGCGATACCAGGAAAATTATTCCCTGGAACCACTTGATTTTATTTCAAATTTCAGTGTATCATGATCTGCAGGATATCAATAATTAAAAAAATGCCACTGCAAAATAGACAAACAAACAAAAACAATAAACATTAGTAATCTTTGTTGCAGAATTGTTTTCTATTCTAAAGGCTCCTTCAGATGTGGCACAGTAAACTGTTGGGGAAAAAAAATTATATCATTTTACATTTAAAGGCACACTGTACTACTTGTAGCTACTTTTGCTCCCTCTACATGTATATAGAATAGAGTTAATGAGATGTCACCTGTCACAGTGACCTCGCTGTGTGGTCTAATCCATTCTGGCTGAACTAGTACAGCCGGCCTTTAAGACAATGGCAACTGTGCACAATAACACTATGAAAATGACTGACAAAGAAAGCGGACAAAATATACAGTTCCTCAGGTAGACAAAGGAACATCCCTTCACTGCTATTATGTAAAAAATTGTAGAACAGGTGTCACATGCATATTCACCTTTTTACATAATAGCAGTGAAGGGATGTTCCTTTGTCTACCTGAGGAACTGTATATTTTGTCCGCTTTCTTTGTCTGTCATGTTTATAGTGTAAGTCCCATATTTACTTTAATAGCTCTGTGTTATAAGAAACAGAAATGTGAAGCCATGCACAAACTGATGCTGTTTACGGTACTGCAACATATATTGGAACGAGGGTTTACACTAGTACTAGAGAAATAGAAGTCTTATTGTTACTACAGTCAAACCTGCTTTAACTGACCACCTGTATACAGTCTACAAAGACCACCTGTCTTCAAGGACCACATTTTTGGTTCCCCTTGAAAATGATTTCTTACAGAATTACAGACCACTATTCTTGTCTACCTTGGGCGGTCTTTATGGACAGGTGTCACTGTATTTCTACCAAAATAAAAACCATTGTCCTTAACCGTTTATCCTCTTGCTGCAGTCAAAGAAAAGTGCTGAGACGGTGAAGGTGGTGGTGCGCTGCCGACCTATGAACTCCAAGGAGATATCGCAAGGTCATAAGAGGATCGTTGAGATGGACAACAAGAGAGGATTAGTAGAGGTCACGAACCCTAAGGGTCCCCCGGGTGAACCCAACAAGTCCTTCACCTTTGATACGGTCTACGATTGGAAGTAAGTCTTTTGCGATCATGACTGATTATCTATGCTTTAAGAACCCAAAACTTTTGAAAGCATTTATATCCCCAAACTTTAAAAATGTTGGCATTAAAACATTTTTAAAAATCTGCTGATTTTTTCCCGATCATTTTTATTGATCAGCGATCAGAATTTATTATCCGATCTCCCCTGATCGGCCAATGACCGGCCCTCGATCCGACAATCGGTTACAGGGTTAGTTTGTCCCTCGATGAAAAATAGATCTAGAACTTTAATTTGAGTTTCCTTGTCTGTATGTACATGTTCCTTGTCTGTTTGTATCTGTTATTCTCCCTGTATGTTTCCGTCCGTCTGTTTTTTAATGAGAATCTACAAATTATCAAAGGGTGTGACTTTCACATTTGGGTTTCCTTTCAATCATTCATCACATTTATTACATATTGAATTGTATACAGTTTGTTTAAGGAATTACATAGAAAGTAAATTTGTGCGTCATTCTGTAACAAAGCTTTTTAAAATACAATATTTCACAATTTGATGAATGGTTAGTTAACTCATTTTGATGAAGACATCAATTGATAATATACTTTTTTTTAAAACTGAATAATATTGTACATAGTAGATGTACAGAGAATACTCTACATAGGTACATTACAGGTAGGTCATGGGCGATCTCATAAGGCTTACTCATCCTACTCTCACTCATCATGAGAACATGGTAGTCAATCATGTTTTTTTTCTCTTTATACTTCACTCTCTCTTTCTCTTACTCAATCTGCTTATCTTTCCCCCCATCTCTCACTCTTTCTTATTTGATCAATCCCATCCCTTTCTCCCTTTTCCTCTGGATTCTATTTGAGATCTTCCTCTGTCTCCTCTCTTTGCTTTGCTCTTTCTGTTGATCTATTGCTCCAGGTTTGTTACTATTGATTTCATCTAATTTTCTGTCCCCTTTCTCGGTTCTCCTTCTATCATCTGCATCCCCCCTCTCCCCCCCCCCCCCTTCTCTCTAGTCTCCATCCCGTTCTCTACATGTATCCTGTTCCTTTCTGTTCTTCTCTCTCTTCATATTTCAGCCTCCCTCTATATCCAGACTATCTCCATTCTCCTTTGATCTCCTGCACTCTCATCTCCCTGGTCTCCGTCTTCTCTTCTTTTCGTTCTTCCTCCCCTCACTGTCCTATTGAACTTTTTCTCTATCTTTCTACTTTTCTCTCTGTGATTTTATGCTGTACTGGGACATTGAGAGGTTGATTGAGTTTGTTTCTAAGTCTAATACTCTTCAGATTGTACATAAAGTGGAACATGTAATATAGCTATTTCCCCTTCTCCTGCCCCCTCTCTATCTCTGTCTGTCTCTCTCTCTGTCTCTTGCCCCCTCTCACTCTCTCTCTCTCTCTTTCTCTCTCTCTCTCTCTCTTTCTCTCACCCTCCTGTCTTTCCTCCCCTCCCCCACCTTTCCCCTTTTCTCTCTTCCTTTCTCATGTTCTTTCTCTGGAATTGTTTCTCTGGTTGATTGTCAATGATTGATGATAATAATTACAATGTCTTGTTTACTTTGGGGTAGCCTCATCAGGGCCCTGCAATCATATTATTACTGCAGCTTGATATGTATATTGATGAGTTTATATCTGATTTGCTCAATCTGGGAATCATGTCATTAGTCTAGAAACTCTTTGCATTAATTGTGAGAGTGTGATACATTTAATCTCATCATTTTAATCTTCTCCTTTTACCCAAGCCTATATTCTTTACTCTGTCTCTCTCTCCCTAAAACTCTCTCCATCTCTCTCTGTCTCTGTGTCTGTCTGTCTGTCTCCATCTCTCTCTCTCTCTCCCTAAAACTCTCTCCATCTCTCTCTCTCTCTCTCTCATAGCAGTCAATATATTTATATCAACCTCATACAATGACCCACATCATTTTAAGGCGATACACGTCATGTAAATGCTATTTAGGGCATCAAGGGCTGATAACCACAAACTAAAATATTACCCCTCTGCTTTAGAGCTTGAATTCAAATACAAAAAGCTCATGTAAAATAAGAGAGAAGAATTAAATCTGCACCCTTGTCACTTTCAAAGTATTTCATAAGAAAAACTATGAATTGATGATATCACTGGCCCAATTTGCCCTGAGCCAAATTCATTTTATATAATGTGATCAATGTATGTACAGGATGACTTTGTATGGAACAAGAGCAGTTACCCCTACCCGTCCTATAAGATGACCCATATCGTATTTAGGCTTCAACGACTGATAATCAAGAACCAAAATATATGCTATTGAGCTGAAAAATAAAAGCTCATATAGAAATTCTAGCCGTATACGAGTACATTTTGTAAGTCCACTTTCCCCTGTTAACCTACAATGACACATATCGTTTAAGGGTAAATGTCATTAGGCCTGTCTTCATCAGCTCGATATTGCCAAATAGCCCGCTAAGTCTGATTTAGGAAATAATCCTGAAGTTACAAATCATGTCCTCATCAGCTCGAGACTTGACCTTGAAACTTGAAACTTGAGCTCGAGATATTTTGCTCAGCGTTTGCGCATAGTCAGAGCTGCCAACTAGTACGGATTTCCCGTAATTGGTACGGAAATTAACGACCATTACGGAATGTTGTTTAAAATTACGGATTTAAAATCCCCCCCCCCCCATTTTTCCTGAAAGACTGTGTTGTGATGATATGAAACTCATTATTTAACAACTTTGAGTGAGTAAAATCACCAAAAATTTCAGATAATCATGTGTCTGTGCAATGTTGGCGTGCCGTTTTTATTAGAGTCATAGCGCCGCATAGGAAATTACTGATTTATACCCAAAATTACTGATTTTGAGCCTTGTGATTACTGATTTTCTGTTCTGGAGGTTGGCAGCTCTGCATAGTGCGAGTGAAGACGCACCGGACAAATAGCGGGATATTTTGCAAACTAGCCCAAGATATCTTGGGATGATTATCTCGACCAAATATCCCGCTAATTGCAAATTCGTGCTGATATGAAGACGCAAACTAACTGGACAATTCACGACCGGGATAGTTCAAATAGTGGGATATTTGTCAATCTCAAGCTGATGAAAACAGGCCTATTTAGGGCTTCAAGGACTAATGACCATGAACCTAAATATCACCCCCTTGCTCTAGAGCTTGAATGAACTCTATCTACATGTATATCACATACAATCTCAAGCAGCTCATAGATGCTATGTTAGTGTTATTATAGTCAGACCGTGTGTGTATGTATACTGTGTGTATGAATGACTCATCTCTCTAAACGCAGGGCCAAGGAACCCATTAAGCTGGGAATATTAACCAACCGCTAAATTAACCTTCCAAGTATGTAGGCCAATGAGTACCAGGGTGAGAAACAGACGCTGGGATTCAGGCTGCAAGCAGGAGAAATTATGAAGAAATTCATTAAACTTGAGGCATAGATTAATGAATGGAGTCAGATGAGTAATATATTTGATTGAAATGTTCTTTCTTGTTTTGTCATACTATACTGACGGACAGGGCAGTATCGATAAAGGCTGCAGGCTAGTAGGAAAGGTTCATTTCAAATACTCGTTCCTTTTCGGGGAAATTAAATCTGACTTATTTTTATTTTTTGTATCGTTTTTTGTGGCCAAGATTAATAATAAAATTGAAAGATTTTGTGTAGACGTTTCTCATGTAAGAGCTTTAAACAATTTCCCCCCATATTTTTTGGGTTGTTAGTTATATCTGATATTTGATATCTTCTCAAAAAGACTCAAATACATGTACATATTTATATTTCTAACCTGCTCTGTCTGTTAGTCTCTCTCTCTCCCTCTCTCTCTTTCTCTCTCTCTCTCTCTGTCTGTCTCTCATATCTTTTTGTCACTCTCATTTTATGTTTCTTGAGAATGTGACATGTTTTAAGAGAAAGTTGAGTTCTAGGAAGAGGTGAAAAATAATTTGTGAGCGTTATCATTCTTATTATGCAAGTGTGGAAGAACATCAGATAAGACATGTTCCCTGAAAAACATAGCTCTTCAAATGCCTTTATATTCTAAATATGTCATGTAACATCGTAAAACTCGGGGGTGGGATTTTAACGACCACATGTTCGTGTAGTCCCATATATTTCTGTGTACTGTGCTTGTAACTTTACGAAGACTGGGCCAAATTTCTTATCATTTTGATGATTCCAGAACCTTGCAGTACACACCTATACTTACATTGTATATGCTAGATGATCAACCTTTTCTGATCGATTCCACAACGTTTCTTTCACAATGCAATGGCATGACCAGAACTGGTCTTTATCTTTAAAGCTGACATATATTTATTTAAAAGTATTCAACAAAGACCCTAATTCAAGCTATGCACCTTTCATTCTTGGGTTAAAAAAACCCACAAACACCATCAAATTTATACCCTGGGGTATGAGTAATTTAGTTGTTAACTGTAGGCAATGTTTACTGTGTGGCTCATATTGAAGATGATGATTCATCCAGTAATACTGAAATAGTTTAGGGCAGGTCCAAGCTATTGTCCCCTTTGGGGGTCAAATTTCATCTTTATATATATTCAAGAAACTATACATCATTTTAAAGCTGAAACTATGAATTTTATGAATCTGATAAAAAAAATTAAAAATTATCAAAATACGAAGAATGCCAAGGTCACGAACTTTGATTTGTGTTAATTAGCGTGACGTACGGGACATTACATTTTTATTTTTGTATCTCATTTGAATTATTTTTTCAAAATTAAATATTTTAGGACATGTAGACCATCATACTAGAAAATAGGAAAAAAATATAAAAACTTTCAAAATTAATTAATTATGCAAATGAGGTAGGTTCCAAAGTGTGATGTCCCGTACGTCACAATTTGACATTAATTTGTTTAATTTTAATTATGAAAATAATTTTTTTTTTTAAAGATATTCTAGGAAGTTCTAATTTAGATGAATACCTAACAAAAAATAGGTTTAACAAAAATTACGAAAATTCTGTGTTGATTACATAATCAAATTAAGAAATGTG